ACAAATGCCAGAGAGCAAGGGACATCTTCAGAAGAGATAATGTATTGATTAGAATGTGACACTGCTTCATGAATGCAGGGTTTGGACCTAGAAAGACAGTATAATTTGTATTAAGATATTATAAGTTGCATGATTGAATTATGGTCAGCAAGATAATAGAAGTAGTTATCTTGAAGATCATGAGGATTCAAACTGATACTGCAGTACAATAATACTCAAAAACTGAGTGATATTATCTGAACTACAAATGGTAATGCTTAGCTGGTTAGATATAAAATAACTAAGAGTGTATATGTGAGTGGGTTTGTATGTGTGTAATTCTGTCTGTCACATATCTATCTATCTATCTATCTATCTATCTATCTATCTATCTATCTATCTATCTATCTATCTATCTATCTATCTATCTACCATAATATACTTTGCAAAATAACTAATAGATAATATAACTAATAGATAAATATTTGCAAATATTTATTTATAGGTTGCAAAATTCAACATTTTTTGGCATGGTACTCCCAGCAGCAGTGAAAAATATTCTAAAGATAATTCTGTATATAAACAGAATCTTGTATAAAATTTTGTACTCTAAATAAATAAATATTTATTTCTGGGACTTCTAGCTATTGAAGTAAAATGGAAAACTTGTTAAAGAACTCAAAAGTAGAAATTTCAGGGACATTTTGAATACTACACATCAATAACTCAAAGTCTGCAATCTTTAGCCAATCATAACTTTCTAGTGACTTATCAATTTTATCGGTGTTTCCAAGTTCATATTTACTATATTTATGTTTCATATTTTACATGCATGTTTTAAGAACTTTATCTATCTATCTATCTATCTATCTATCTATCTATCTATCTATCTATCTATCTGACTTTTTCCAAATGTCTCAGTCTCACTGTAGTGATTAGTAAGGTTTCCAATTCATTTAAGAATATTTCCTTCAGACAATGAACAACTGCAAAACGATCTGCCTCGTAAGAGGTATTCTTCAGCTTAATTGCAATTAACCCAGTATTTGAGATCTATCCTGAAGGATAAATCCTGTGTAGGAAGGGAATGATTAATGGGATTCCAGGTGACATTTGGAAGCACTAAAAGTAGTTGGTCTAAACAGAGAATTAAATGTAGAACTTGAACTGCACTGCACAAAGAGTATGTCAGCATCTTCCAGATTCAGAGACAATTCACATGATTATTTATTGAAAATATTTACATATTGCTTCTCATAAAAGAGGCTAAAAGTACTTTATGATCAAATGAGATACGGTTTTGCTCTGAGAGTTGAAAACATGGTGTTCTTCATGGGCATCCTAGCATGGTGCAATCTCGTTTCCCACTCTGTTAGCAAACCATGAAAAACTTCCTGTATGTCAAAGGGACACCAGAAGAAAAGTAACTAGCAAATATTTACTACTATACAAGAAATCAAAAGCCTACAGTTTCTTAACCACTTTCATCATAAAAGAAAACTTAGAGATCCTTCGAAAATTTCAACTGAATGGGATTCTTGAAAGGGACACAGCCCTGCAGGAACCAACTCTCATCCAGAGGAAAGTGGACAAGCAGAGGAAGAAGCAAAGCCTGACAAGGAAGCTTCAAACAATAAGGGGAGGAGACCTATGAAAAAGTGATGCTGGATAGCTTTCCTTAGGCTTAGAGTGTTGTTAATCGCCTCCCAGTTTCCCACTCCTCCACCTAGCAGTTCAGTGGCCCAGTTCATGAAATGAACAAAGATTTTTAAAGATTTTTACTTCTTAAAAATACCTCTTTCACAGGTCACTTTCAATTGTGAAATACCAATAGACCAATTGTGCAGATGTTTCTGTCAAATATGATTGAAATTGATCCTAGGAGAATTTCCATTTTTTTCATGCATGCACACAAACACCCAACTCCTGACTGAAATGCAATAAATATAAAGAGCAATAAACAAGGCTGTATATGGAGATCACAGTTATTCAGGATCAGTCTTACTAGTGTTTGGCAACTTTACGATGTGTGGACTTCAACTCCCAGAACATCCAGAGTTGGTGGGACTGCAGTCCTCAGAATTTCCAGCAAGCATGGGAATGGATGATGGAATTTTGTAATTTGATACAGCTGAACCCCATCAAGCTGAGGAATGATTGGTTTAAACACTGATCAAATCCATTATTCCATTATAACAAGAGTATATGGGCATTTAATGAATGGATTTTGATAAGAGAGTTAGTGAAGTATCATCATATAAAGCACAATCAAATAATCAAAAGCTGTGATAGACTGGATTTTTTAAAATGTGGCATTAAAATGCAAGGGAATCCCACACTCATTTCTATTTGGGAAATAATAAGAGTAAAAGACAGAGGTAATTCTCTTGGGTATCTCATACTGGCAGAGAGCAACAAGGCTCATTGTGATATCCTGAGCTGGGGTGTGGTGAAGAAAGCTTCTATTCCTTTTGCTGTAACTAAAACAGAATCCAAAGCTGCCAAGCCCATCAATCATAAAGCCTTTGAGAGCATTTACAGTGGTGATAAAACAAAATAAAGCTATTTGCCAAAAAGACATTCCCTTTATACTGTTCTATTAAAAACAAGCAAAACAACTAAAGAAATTATATGGTGAATTTATGCTGACACCAGTTACAGTCCTCTACCTAATTACAAGCACGACACTTTCTAATTAGCATAAAGAATTTGATTTAACCAGAGTTGAGTACTTTGAAGTCCTGTCTATTTTGTGATTCAAACTCAGAGTAAGATGTAAAACTGGTTCAAACTGGACTTCTGTTTAATTGGCAATGAGCAGCAGTCCTGTAGAATATTTTTGGACATATTTGCTCCTGATCAACCAATGACCTGATTACTGTCTTCAAATGTCTGAAGACTATAAGTTGAGGGAATAAATATGTTACTGTTGCTCCAGAGGCTTAGACCCCAAGGATGAAAATTTCAGGAGAGCACAAACTGGCTAACATCAGGAAATAATTTCTAAATGTTAGCATTATTCAATAGTGTCTGCTACAAGGAATAAAGATCTCTTCTTTAGTGGAGATATATTCAGCAGTCACTGGATGGCCATCTCACAAGGATGTTGTAAATGCATCTATTATTATAGATTTTATTCTGAACAGAGGTTTAGATGAAGTGACCTCCAAGCTCCTTTTCAGTCTATGGAACTTTATTTGTTAGCAGAAAATAAAATGTTAATAAATTAGAGAAGTCTATTATGATTGCAATTGCATAGGTCTTCCTTGTGCTCTGTACATTCTAATTTTCATTTTTATGTATCTAGTTATTTTTGTGCTTTCAATTCAGTTTTGACTCCTGGAGACTCTCTGAACTGGTCCTTATAGTTTTCTGAGCAAGTTTTCAGAAGCTTTGTCACTGCCTAAAGCTGAGAGAAAGCGATTAGCCCAAAGTCACCGAGCTGAGGCTTTGTGCCTCAGATAGGACTAGAACTCACCATCTCCCATTTCTAGCCTGGTACCTTAACCTCTAGAACAAACTGGATTTTGCAGTCTTAATAACTGACTAGAAAAAATGTGGCCTAATGTAGAATTTTTTTGGTCTTGTCAGGCAACCTAAATCCTAAGATTGTGACAACTTTATTAGGCCACATTTTTTTTAGTGACAACTTTATTTGTTTTTATGTTGGGGCTCTGAAAGTTTGTGTGAATGGGGGGGGGGGTGAGTGAAGTTTGCATAGATGGAGAGGAGTTTTTCCAGCACCCTGTGGATAATTAACTGCAGAATTATATTTATTTAGTATGGATCATAGATAAAAAAAAATCTTGGATTCTTATTTAGTCGAGCATCTGGTTTTTCATGAACCAATAAACCATAACATAAGGGCAATGGCCTTTCTGACTCTTAAACTAGGTTCTCATCACATGATCATCACATCACACTCAACCATTAACCTGGTTATAACTTGCTACTTTGGACCTATCACCACACAGTCATGCTAATAAAGTTGAGGACTACCCATTTGGGGAATACACAGATGCTCACTGCCTCCACTCTTTCCTGATATCCCATAAGTCCTTATGCCAGGAGAAAGGTGGCTAGACTTCTCTACATCAGTGAGCTCCTTGTTCCTGGCTCCCTCAAGTCCTGACTATGAATTTTCTTTAGATTTCCTGACTAGGGAAGAGTAGTTTGATCCAATTTGCCCTGGTATAATATTGGTTAACACTGCCTCTTTTCATCCAGTTTAGTTTAGCAGATTTATGCAGCATGGTGGACCCTTAATTGAATCAATGAAACAGCCCATGAGGCCCACTTTATTCTACAGAGGAGTCTAGAGTCAGACTCAAATGCTATATCTGATCCTTCCCCCCCCCCCCTTGCTTAAAATAAAGGATGTCACTGAGGTAAGGCCAAACCTCAAGATCTTCTGTATGTGAGACTAATGGGATTGGGACTGTGAAGCCTAGAAAAAAGATAACTGAAGGGAGATTGTTGAGGTATTTGAAAAAGCATAAAGAAGAAAGCAATAATTTTTCTCTACTGGGAACATGGAATAATAATTTTAAGTTTCATGAAATAGATATGGGTTGCATAGAAGCATCTTCACAGAATAGTTTATCAGACAAACTTATTACTAAGGGAGATTATGTGAGCTTTTTTATTTGCTGGATGCGGACAAGTAGGCTGGACAGCCATCCAACAGGAATGCTTTCACTTGGATTCTTGCACCGAGCAAGAGGCTATATTAAAAGTCCCGGTCCCTCTCTGGTCTTCTCTGAATCTAAGAAATAGGGCAGCCAAGCTCTTGCTGATGTTGGAAGGAAAGCAGACTTTGAGAAGAAGCTTGCTTAAGGCTATGCAGACTGAATGGGACAGTTTCTTGTTTCCCACCAATCCAACAAATACCCTAAAGCTATCACTTCCTCTGCTTTGTAATATCTACAATATGTTTTAAGGAGTATATTAGCAACTAAATGTTTCTTAGTAATGTAGAAGCTTGTTAATATAACATTTCCTGTTTTTTTTTTCTGTTCCAGATCTTACAAAACCACCACTGGCCCCAAAACCAAAGATCTTCAGTCATCTGGCTTCCATAGCAGCTTCCAAATTTCCTCCATCACTATCAAGGGCTGGCACACTTCATAATTTAAACTCTATGTCTAGGGGTCCAAAACCACCCATTGCTCCCAAGCCAAAAATCTCCACTGACAGCGATCCAACAATTTTTCAGAGATCCAGTGTTTATGCTAATAATACCTTTAACAAATATCCCAACGGAAAACTGGAAGCAGAACTTTATGAGGAAAATCAGTGCAACAACACAGAGTGTCCAGAATCAGAAGGTGGCAATGAATACATTGTGATTCCTGATCTTGAACCAACTGATAAAACCTATAGTGACTGTGAGCAGGAGCCAGCTGAGAATGAGATTCTGCACACTCTTGAACCAATAGGTGAGGAAGATGGTAATTGTATGGACAGCAATGAAGTATGTGGTTGCCCATTAAATGTAATGAAGAACAAGGATACTGAATCAGTGGGAGAAAACTCTGTGGGATCGACTGAAATACCAGCACATGACTGCCCCGAAACATTTGAAAGGGAAAAAGAAGATGGTAGAAGAGATGAATATGAAAAACTCGGCAATGAAGATCATCCCAGTGAGACCAAAATGAACTGTGCAGATGAAGCTCTAAGCAAACTGGATTTGGTAAATGATAACAATGAGTATAATATGGACGGCAAAATATTGAATGGAGAATTTTTGAAAGAAACCATATACGATGGTATCATTTTCAAGCATTTAGAAGAGCCAATATCAGCAGAAGAAGATCAGCCTCTAATTTGCAAAGAGGCAGTTCAGTTTTTGGAAGAGGAACAATTAAATACTGATCTAGAATCAGGCCCAGCAAATCACAGTGATAATGATTCAGCCTGGATTACAGAAAGAAAGTTTATAGAAGATGCTAATGCTCACGTTGCTAATGATGCTGATGTGGACACTGGATTAGAACCAAGTGGGTCCGAGCTTGGTATTGAAGAGAATTTTAGAGAGACCACAAATGAAATGGATGAAAAGGAAGATGAAACAGACCCAAATGCTGAGGGAGAAGTTCTCAACAATGGTTGCCAAACTACTGAAATGAAGAATGTGGTAGAAATATCAGAGACTGAATGTGAATCAGGGGAAAATTCTGGAGAACAAAATGAAATGATAGACACAGAGACGATGGATGATAGCTGCCAGATCATCCCCTTTGGAAATGAGGGCAGTGAGGATGCTCAGGATTCCCCAGATGAAGATTTAGATGAAGATTTGTCAGGAAAAGAGACTGAAATGCCTGATAATAACCCACCCCTCAGTTCTGAAGATACTAATGGGCACAAATCTGATTCGCAGCTTAGAAAAGAATCTAAGTCAGATGTTTTACTTGGAGATCACAGTGCAAGTGAATGTACTTTAGAAGATACACATTTGGATAATCCAATATTCGAGGTGGATCACAATGATAAAGAGGAAACTGTCCCAAATCTAACCAGAGAAACATCAACTGAAGATACTGAGCTTGGAGAATTAGCTAAATTGGAAACAAACTCAGCCAATGAATGTGCAATTGAGGAAGCTACAGTGGTCCCCGAAGCGTCGGTTGTGCCTGATAACAATGGAGAAGTAGCCAGTGATTCCCTAGATGACCCATATGTCCTTGGAGACAGTTTGCCTACAGCAAATGAAATTCTTTATGCTGGAAGAGAAATGCAGGAGGCTGATATCCAAAACAGCTCAAATGATTTCAGGGAGGGAGAGAACACAGAAAATGAAAACCACTTGCTTTCCATAGATCGGAAAAACATTGTTACTCGAACAAGGTCCCACTCTGGGAAAGTACCTGGTTATGTGCCAGAAACAGTTCCAGAAGAAACAGGGACAGACACTGAATCGCAGACCTTGAGCACAAACACCACTATTTCTGAAAATTTAAGACACAGTTGCTGTTGGTCAGAAGGAAAACCTATAGAACTGGCTAGAACACTACCTGCAAAGCCAAGACGCTTCATTTTGTACCCTCGATCTTATTCAGTAGAAGGCAGAGACGTCCCTGTCTCTCTGTATCGAGAATCTGATAACTCTATATTAGATTATAACAGATTAAACAGGACCGATGAGCTGTCTTTACCATATGTAATTGGTTCTTCAGGTAGCTTTTCCCAGAGGAATCACCTTACATCCAGTGGGGTTTCCACTCCTTCCTCTGTGGTTGATATTCCACCTCCCTTTGAACTAGCCTGTATCACCAAGAAGCCCATCACAAAAAGCTCCCCATCCCTTTTAATAGACAGCGAATCTCCTGATAAGTATTGTAAGAAAAAGAAGTCCTCCTTTAAAAAATTTCTCACTTTGAAATTCAAGAAGAAGGCAGAAAACAAGGTCCACGTAGATGTTCATGTTTCTTCTTCAAGATCCTCCTCTGAGTCTAGTTATCACGGACCTTCCAGGGTGATGGAACTGGACAGAAGAAGTTTGAGTGGTTCACCTCAGCTGTTATCACGGACCGCCAAACTGAGGGCCTCTGAATCTCCGACTGTTCTTTTCTACAAGGATGGCAAGAGAAAAGGAACCCCCAAAATGTTTAGCAGAAGTGTGTCAAGGGTAGAGTCTTTTGAGGATCGTTCAAGACCACCTTTTATGCCTCTGCCTTTAACAAAGCCCCGGTCTATTTCATTTCCCAATGCTGATACTTCTGACTATGAGAATATCCCAGCCATGAATTCTGATTATGAAAATATACAAATACCTCCACGGAGGCCCACTAGGGCAGGAACCTTTACTGATTTTTTTGAAGATCCTAGCAGGGCCTTATCTGCTGCCAATGAGAATGATGGCTATGTGGATATGAGCAGCTTTGCAGCCTTTGAAAACAATAAACAGCAAACCACCAACCAGGAAACAGAAAGGTATTGTAGCACATATTTATATAAGGCCTGTTAGCCTTGACCACAGAAACTAGACTTCCTGTGTATTGGGAGCTAAAGGCGGATTCTCAAACTTACTTGGCTTATCTCACTTTTTTCAGGAAATGCTTTCTATAAAGTATTTAGAATAGGACTTGATTTTTTAAAAAAAATAATAATAATAGTATTTTATATATGTAATTTAAATGTTCCCTACTTCCAATATTTATCAGAAAATTGCTAGATTTTCATATCTGGATCGCAGTAGTAAATCCAGTTAAATTTTATGAATCTTCTGTAAAGTTTGGACTGAAACTTGCTCATTTTTTTGGGAATAATGCTTTGAACTCCTCTATGTATAATCCAACACAGGTAGTCCTTGACTTATAACCATTCGTTTTAGTGACCGTCTGAAGTTACAACGGCCCTGAAAAAAAAGTTACCTATAACCATTTTTCATTTCATTTTACAACTGTTGCAGCATCCCCCCCCATGGTCACATGATCAAAATTTGGATGCTTGGCAAATGGTTCACATTTATGACTGTTCCAGCCTTCCGGATCACGTGATCCCCTGACAAGCAAAGTCAATGGGGAAGCCAGAGGCACTTAACAACCATGTTACTAACTTAACAGCTGCAGTGATTCACTTAAATACTGTGGCAACTAAAGTCATAAAATGGGGCAAAATTTAACAACTTAAGTTAACAACCATTTCGCTTAACAATGGAAATTTTGGGCTCAATTGTGGTCGTAAATCAAAGATTACCTGTGGAATGAAGGGAAGCTCCAGGGCAGAATTTTCCTCTAAACTATTATACTGCCTTCTACCCTTCCTGTTTCCCTGCTTTTCTGCTTATCTGTTCCTCTAAGACAGGGGTAGGCAACCTTGGCTCTTTTATGACTCGTGGACTTCAACTCCCAGAATTCTGGCTGGGGAATGCTGCCTCAGGAATTCTGGGAGTTGAAGTCCACGAGTCATAAAAGAGCCAAGGTTGCCTACCCCTGCTCTAAGAGTTATAGTCACTTCTGGTTCCCTCAAATGTAAGATTCAGTCTATACAGGTAGTCCTTGACTTACAACAATTCATTTAGTGACCATTCAAAGTTACAACAGCACTAAAAATGACTTATGACCGTTTTTCACACTTATGACCTTTGTATCAGCCCCTTGATCATCTGATCAAAATTCAGTTGCTTGACAACTGGTTCACACGTATGAGCACTGCTGTGTCCCAAGGTCATGTGATTCTCCCTTTGGCGACCTTCTGATAAGAAAAGTCAATGGGGAAGCCAGATTCACTTAACCAGGTTATTAACTTAACAATTACAGTGATTCATTTAACAACTGCGGCGAGAAAGGTTGTAAAATGGGGCAAAACTCACTTAAATGTCTCATTAGCAACAGAAATGTTGAGCTCAATTGTGGTCATAGGTCAAGGATTACCTGTAGTTTAGACTTGACTCCTGGTACAAACCTTATGACGTGCTCAAAGTTCATGGCTGGTACAAAGAGTTTTACAATCAATGTTTGGGAAAATGTCTGAATGAATTTCAAAAACTGTTGAAAACTCTGTGTTCTAGAATATGTGTTTTTCTAACCATTTGGAGGGAGAAAGATAGAAATACATAATGCAGAACTTTAGTAGTGTCAGTTTACTAACTTTTACCTTGGAACTGCATCTTAAGTTTATTTACAGCAGACATGTCAAATTCATGACATCATGTGATGTTGCACAACGTATCGGGACGATTTTGCCATTACTGGCAGTGGGGTGGGTGCAGCTTCTGGATGACGCATTCAGCTCGCGGGTCCGCAGTTTGACACCCCTGATTTACAGAAAGAGTACTCAGAATAAGACTGGTATCCCGTGTGCTTATGGGGGGTGGAGAATATTGAATCTGATGGCAATTGGCTCCTTCCTCTACAAGAGCGCCTTAGCAGAGTGAAACTTCAACTAGGAGCTTTTCAAATAACAGTTCAATAATTCTCATCTCGATGTTCCTCTATATTGTGTTTTAATGAACAGATTTAAAACTCTGTCACACTCTAATATTGTTTAGAATCCTTTGCAGCGCTGAAGTGCTACATTTGCAGGAAATTCTTACCTTAGACTATGCATTTAATTTCTTCATATTCAGAAGACTGTGGTATGTGTATACTTAATTAGATTCCATCAAATTTATAGGGCAAGAACCCAATAATGAAAGCATGCTAGATATAATCTTTCTTTACAAATTACTGATGTGGGGGTTAGTAACCAGTACATTACCCTCTGAGGGATAGTTACTTCTTTTCCCTCAAATTTAGCTATGTAGTATTAATAATTAAAATAATGATTTGGTAATGGAACATTAGAGATGTCAATACCATGGGTCCAACAAAGCCTGTAAAAGAGTTGGTCATTAGTATTGTCAACTATCAGCAAAATGGTTGTGATTTGGGGAATCTGTTTCTTGCCTTTTAGGTACTACTTTGGAACCATTTCAGTGTTATAAGGAGTAGGTATATATCTACTCAGTGAATCAAGTCATCATCCATTATCTCTCCACACAGCTACTGAGTACTAGGTGTATAGATTTATTTTTCCTTTAATGAAGTGGTTTACAAATATTTAATTACAAGAAGTTAAAAAGAGGTCACTTGGAGGCACCATCGGACGGCAAGTTATACTACTATACATCCTTACTAATCTGAAATACTGGCATTGGAAAAAATCAAAGCAAGGAACGCCACTTGTTTTTCTGGACCATGATTTCTCACAACTGGAATAGTGTGAATTTCTTGGTGTTATATGTTATAGCCCGTCTGTCAGAATTCTCAATTATTAATCATGCATATTCTTTGGGTTTAGGTTATTCGGGTTCTGCCATTCCCCTATGGGCGGGAGGGGGTGGTCGGGGGCTTGTAGTGCATGTAGACCATTTCCTCTATCTGCTTTGGTGCATCCTTTATGAGGTGTGAAAGGAATGCCTCGGGGGCATCTGCTTTATCTCAGCGCACTGGGAGAAACCGGAAAAGACTTACCAATCTTGAGAGAGGTGCCTTATCAGTTGCTTTTCCACAGCTCGATGTCACTGTGGATTGGCCTGTTTGAACTGACTGGATGGACAGTTGGAGTGGGGTTATGGTTTCGCAAGTTTAACCTATTGATTTTGGTGGGAAGTCCTCAGATCCTGCCTAGCTTTCCTGCTTTCTGTACCTGCCAATAAAAGTTCCTTTTGAAATGATGCTAGTTTCAAGAGTTCTGCTTTCTTGGGAGAGAAATGGAGGCAGATCCTTACATTAGGCAGCATCTGCAAAGTGGTCAACTCAGAGGACTAATCCTACCATGGGGACCATGCAAAATAATGTCTAATCACAGAGGTGAGAAGGTAGAAACTGAGCACTTGGAGGGGGCCTCGCTGAAGGCTTGCCTGAGCAGCAGCAGCTCGGACTCTGCCAGCTCATCCAACAAGGCAGACACTTGTGAGAAACCGAGGTGGTCAATTGGAGTGGGGAAGAAGGACGACTGGGACATGAAAGCCAGGAAAGTCACCCTCAAGTGTGGCAGCCATCAACCCAGTTGGAAATGTGAGATGGAGAGATTGCTAAATGTCAGTGAAGATGAGAGTGAGAGGCCAGTGCACTCTGACCACTTCCTCAAGCAAGCCAATGGCATGCTGGTGGAGGCATTCAAAAACTGCAAAGAAGAAGAGGCCAATCCCTGTCATGGTTCAATAACCATGAGTCTGGACGAGGAAGAAGAGGTCTGGGAGAGTGAATTCGCAAACCCCGGCCCTTCCAAGAAGCCACTGGAGTGACAGCCGAGGTCACCAACCCAGTCTATGCCACTCCAGCTGGAGGAGATGGATGCTGAGCCAGAAGGAGGGGGACTCAACAGCCTGACTGCAAGGTCCCAGCCCTGGGTATAAAGTATGATGGATCACCCCAACAGTTGGGCTTTTTCCTAACTCACATCCTGAGCTATATGCACAAATATGGGTGGGACATCCTCGGGGACCGTGGGCACATCAGGATCATAACCCTGGCCCTGGAAGTGCAGCTGCCCGGTGGATGGTATAACATTGGTGCTCCCAAGCACCAGAATTTTAACCTGTTCATGGCAGCCCTGAGAAGGAGGTTGGAGGACCCGCTAGCCGATCGGAAAGCCAAGGAGCGCATTAAAACCATAAAACAGCAGATAACAAGTGGCCGAGTACACTGAGGAGTTTAGAGACTTGGTGGGCCACCAACCTCTACCAGGCTTACATCACCCAGGGGGATCCAGTACACCTCCACGGCTGGTCCATAATGGCAGAAGAGGCTGAAATTAACCTAGCATGCAGCCAACAGCGAATGGACTGGACCTGGAGATGTTCCCCTCAGAAGGGAAGAAAGAGATGGCAAAGACCCTGACCATGAACCCACATTCGACCACCTGCTTCAGATGTGGCAAAGAAGCCCATCAAGCAGCCAATTGCCATTCGAAAGCACTGAACCTGAGGGCAGACCACATCGTAGGAGGAAAACCTTAGGAAAAACCCATCTTTGAACAGCGAATCAGGGATCGAGTTTAGACGAGCACTATAAACTATCGAATGGTTCCTGAACATAAGAACCTTTGCTTGATGAGGGATGAACTGCTCTGGGTAGGAGAAAAGTTATACGTGCCAAAAACCCAGAGAGTAAAAATCATGCAACTTTGACACGACTCAAAAATGGCAGGGCATTTTGGATTTGTGAAAACTTTCCATTTGACCAAAAGGTAATTCTGGTGGCCCTCTATAAAAATGGACATTGAAAGCTGTGTGCTAAACTGCCCTGTCTGCGTAGTGGCAAAAGACAGGGGAAAACGCCAGGATTATTACAAGTGGTGGCCAGCCATTCAGCACCCTGGAAAGAGATCTCTATGGATTTTAGAGTAGAACTGCCAGAATGTGCAGGAAACATTGTCATTTGGGTTGTGATGGACCTATTTTCCAAACAGATCCACTTCATATCCTGCCAGAAGATTCCCACTGC